AAATTTTGTATTTATTCTTTAATTATGCATCTACGTGTGTGTGTGTGTGTGTGTGTGTGTGTGTGTGTGTGTGTGGTACATGTGCATGTGGGTCCCCACAGAAGCCAGCAGAAGGCACCAGATCCTCTGGAGTTGGTGTTATAGGTGGTTATGAGTCACCTGATGTAGGTGCTGGAAACCAAAATTGTATTCTCTGCAAGATCAGTTGTGTTCTTAACCATCAAGCCTTCTCTCCAGTTCATGTATTTTTAAAAAATAAATCAAAACATAAGCATAATTAACATCTGGTGGTTAGCCCAACATTTAATATATTTAATATATTATATGACCTTAAAAGGGGATTAAGTTCAGTCTTAAAAAAAAAAATATCATACCTTGAACAGTGTCCTTGCTTTGAGAGCTTCTTGGATTTGGTAAAGGCACCTCTTTTGACTTGCTGCTCTTCATCTTGCCAATTTACCTGCAAATATGTCATCAATAATCACTGACCATCACTATTATAAAAACAATAGCAAAGAAAATACTCTGACATTTTGAACTTCATGATGTCAGCAAAAGATTGTCATCTCTAAAATAATCTAATAAATTTTTTGTTGTTTTCTTTTTTCTTTTTGGTCTTTTTGGAGACAGGGTCTACCTGGAGCTCCCCCCTGCCCACCCCCGCAAAGCTGGCCTCGAACTCACAGAGATCTGCCTGCCTCTGCCTCCTGAGTGCTGGGATTAAAGGTGTGCACTACCGTACCTGGCTAATCTAATAAATTTTAAAACTAAAAATTATACTATGACCATCTCATACCTAGTAAGATAGCTACTATCAATTAAAAAAAAAAAAACAGAAAATAGAGGCTGGCAAGATGGCTCAGTTCTTGCTACCGAGCCAGACCACCTAAATTCAATTCCTGGAAACCACATGGTGGAAGTAGAGAACCAATTCCTGCAGTTGTACACACACGCACGCACGCACGCACGCACGCATAAATGTAATTTGTAGCAGCATTATTCTATCATCTAACACGGAAGTAACTCAAGTATCCAGCAACAGATAAAGTACATAAGCAAGTGTGTGTATGTACATACATAGTAATATCAAATATTTGGCTTTAATAGGAAGGAAATTCTGACATATACTATTCCATAGATGAACTTCAAGGACAGTATGTTAAGCGAAATAAGCCATTCACTTAAACATAAATACTGTTATCATTCCACATGTGAGGTAGACTGGTTAAAATCACTGACAGAAAATAGAATGATGGTTACCAGGGACTGAGAGGGAGGGAGGAAAAGGGAGTTATTAATAGGTATAGAGTGCCAAAATTGAAATGACTGGAAATGGATGGTGGAAATGGGCAGTTGCACAATATATAATATACTCAATACTAATAAACTATACACTTTTTTTTTAATTTTTTTATGTGTATGAGTGTATTGCCTGCATGTATGTGAGTGCACTGTGTCATGCAATGCTGCGGAGGTCAGAAGAGGGCTTTGGATTTCCCTGGAACTGGAGTTAAGGACGGTTCGTAGCCGCCATGTGGGTGCTGGGAATTGAACCTGGGTCCTCTGCAAGAGCAGTCAGTGCTCTTAACCGGTGAGCCATCTCTCCAGCCCCGAACTGTACGCTTTTTAAAAAGGCAAAGAGGGGTTAGGGGCATAGACTATTGGTAAAGCACTTGCCGAGATGTGTGAGACACTGAGTTGTTTGATCATCAATAACACATATACACACAAAAGGTTAAGAAGCCAGATGAACTGCACCAGGGCTAGGCGTCTCGGTCCTCCAAAAGGTACCCAGCCCTTAGAAGACTGCCTGAGAGTGCCTGGATCTGACCTCCCTGTGGTGGTGAGCTTCCCCAAATCATGTCTGCCCATACCCCTACACTGGGACCACGTGTGGGCCCTCCCACTGCACCAGGGCTAGACTTCTCTGCCCTTTAGTAGGGGCCCAGACCTTTGCAGACTGCCTCAAAGGGCCTAAATTGGGCCTCTATGTGGTGGTGACCATCCCACCACCAGTGCTGTGATGTGCCTGCTAGTAGGGGTCCAGACCATAGGAGGAAGCCTGAGAGTACCTGTCACCTGATTTGGACCTATGCAGGAGCACCTGAGTACCTGTCACCTGATTTGGACCTATACAGGAGCACCTGAGTAGCTGGACTGAAGTTATCCATTCCCTCTGATATAAAATCTGAGGGGACCTGAAGCCTAGACCAACTAGACTTACATACACAATAAGAAAACAACCAAAGCATACCAGTAATACAAACAGAAGCAGACTTCAACTCAACAAAGGCTTGAGTTTCATACCAAAATAACAAACAACCAAAGAAATCCACATACCAAAAATCACAAGGGAAAAATAAGAATATGGAAAGCCAAAATAATATGTTCCTACCAAACACCACCGGTCCTATATAAGAGTTCTACAAGAACCCCCAAGAGATAACTAAGGATATATAATTTAAAAGAACAATCATAAACATGATCAAAGAATTCAACAAACTTAAAGAACACATAAACAAATCAAAGACCTAAAAGAAGTTAAGAATAAACTTCTGACTGAATTCACAAAAGAGACAGAAATACTGAAAAAAACTCAGGCTGAAATGAAGAAGGAAATGAAAAACTCAATAAGCCAATTTGAAATGACAAGAGAAAGCCTCACCAATAGAATGAATGAAAAGGAAAACAGAGTATCAAGAATGGACAAAAAATTCAAGCTGAAGAATTGGACCACTCAAACAAAGACCAGGAAAAAAATTTTTAAACACAGGAATGCAATATGCAGGAGATGTGGGACACCATGAAAAGACCAAATCTACAGATCACAGGCATAGAGGAATGAGAAGATGGACAAAAAATTCAAGCTGAAGAATTGGACCACTCAAACAAAGACCAGGACAAACTCAAAGACCATGGGACACCATGAAAAGACCAAATCTACAGATCACAGGCATAGAGGAATGAGAAGAATTTCAGTTAACCTCACATGTGGATTCTAGCACCAAATCCTTTTAAATTCCAGGTCCTTTTAATAAGATGATGCTATACAGCAGTCCCTTCTGCATGAAATAACGACCATCACCATGACTAGCTGAGCCTGATCGCCAAACATCATCGCAATTGGGCTTGTTGACGGTTGTGCTCATTCGTTAAAGGAGGGCCAAGCAGGGTCATTGGACCCTCACCGGAGTATCTAGCCGCTCTTTCCAGCCAACTGTACATAATTTGACCCTAATCACACATGCCACCTGGATTTGGGGAGGGCTAAAGTATACAATCAGAGGATGGCTAGGAAGAGAAGGCATGACCCATGCTGAGTAAAAGCTTTCCAGTACACATACCCTCAGGTCGTATATACACCTCAGCAACCCCTCAGATATCTCCGTAAGTAAGCTCAATAAATTCATTGGTTCTCCAGTAAAACTTTAATCAAACATTGGCTTGACAGTAGAACCTTACAAGGGAATAAACATTGCTTAGCATACCCAGGAAAAGAATTCTCACAACAGATGGAAAATTTATTGGATAATGCTATTATGTCTCATAATTATTTTAAAAAAA